AAACGACATTATTGACACAAAATTGCAGGATGAAATTTCAGCATTGGGGTCAGTGTTATTGAGGTGTACATATCAGGAATGCTGTGTTTGTACAGCAAGGGCTCACAGTTTGATTAGCTTTGAATAAATTGACAGCTTTATTCTGTAATGTGGCTTACATGATTTAAAAGTTCGTTTCGTTAATAAATTCAAATGTTTGTAATATTGTTTTATTATATGTGTGCATTTTAAAGAGTATACTTCCTTTCTTTCAAAGTGAAGTTTTAAATTAGTTAAACCACTTTTATTGCGATCACTTTTATTTGACATTTACTTGGGAATACCTTTAAATACCATCGTATCATCTTTTTGTCATCTCTTACATATATAATAGTATCAAATGTATCTGCAATTAAAAGGCAAATGCCAAAAGCAACTACTTTTGTTAGTAGTTTTAGCTTTCAAAAATGAAACCATGAGGTTTCCCAGTACAAGGAAGTAATTTTAATATATTTAGATTTAGTATATACAATTCTGATTTTTTAGTAATAATTTAGTATAACGAATTGTTAAAGAAATAAGAGAAATGGCATTTGCCATTCGTTCTCTTTTGCCTGTCTTAAATAAACAATAATTATCTTTTCTTGTTGTAAGCGAGAAACAGTTAAGAAATATAATATTATATTGAAAAAGCAATGTACACCTCTGAATGCCACATTACTAAAACGATTTGGGGCAAATGAAGTATATGAGGTTCCTTTCAATTCACATACTCATCGCAGTATTAGTGTTCAAGACTAAGTACAATTTAACATATACAGCTACTTAGAAATTGACTAACAATTTTTTTCCGAAAGAAAAGCAACATTTATTTTCTTTAACCAAATTCTGACCTATTAGCATATGCAAAATGTTTAATACTCATTTTTAACTTCATGCTGACACTAAATATTTTTTTGGACCTTTTTCCCGAATTGAGAACGTAAACGTTGTTAATGTTTTTCTTATTATTTAAAGTATTTTTATTTCATATCCAATTAATTACTCACTAGTCTAAGAATAAATATGTAAAATGAAGTTTGAATACAATTAAAGACAAACGGAAATGCAAATTGCAGTTCAGAGTGCAAAGAACTTCTTAACAATTATTTAAAAGTTTTCATTTTGCGTCTCTGAGTTTTATGAAGATGAACTACACTTGGAAGAACTTTGATGCATGTATTTGTAGAACTGTTGAATGCAGTTTAGTTCACTAAAATGATATTAAATTATAGAATCTCTGTTTAAAATACCTTACATCAGTAAATCCTTTAGAACTGCAATAATGCAGCAATGATATATTTGTTTGTTTTGTAGTCGTTGTATTCCTTCTGCATTCCTTGGTCGCAATCATTAGCAAAATCGATAGAAAATATTTTAAAAAGTTAATTTTAAAAAGCTTATTTTATTGTGGGTAGGGATGGACTGCAAATGGACAGCATATTAACATACAAAGTAAAATATATGATTACCGTATATTTTGTTATGGGATATCAATTAACATTAAAAAGAAAACGTTTAAATGAGAAGTTCTCTAGAACTTGGCCTTAAAAAATTTATTGTTGACTTACTTAAAGTAATAACAAGAGCTGTCGGTAGGACAGCAACGCTCGACTATTCTAGTGCTTGATAGTAAAAAATAATGCTTGATAGAGTTACCTACTCCTGTTTACAGGTTGGTGTCATGATGGTGAACAAGTATGCAAAGTTTCAAAGCCATATGTCAATGGACTTTGAAAATATTTGAACTATTACAAAAACTTTAACGTAAATTCTAAGTCGAAAAAGGGGCATAATTCTGTCAAAATGCTTGATACAGTTACTTCCTCCTGTCTACAGGTGGGGGTCATGATGGTGAACAAGCGGCAAAGTTTCAAAGCCATATGTCAATGGACTTTGAAAATATTTGAACTATTACAAAAACTTTAACATAAATTCTAAGTTGAAAAAGGGGCATAATTCTGTCAAAATGCTTAATAGAGTTACCTCCTCCTGTCTACAGGTTGGGGTCATGATGGTGAACAAGTGTGCAAAGATTCAAAGCCATATGTCAATGGACTTTGAAAATATTTGAACTATTACAAAAACTTTAACATAAATGGTTACGCCGACGCCGACGCCGACGCCAACGCTCGGGTGACTACAATAGCTCTACTTATTCTTATCGAATAGTCAAGCTAAAAATTATATTGAAAGATCTTGCATATATAATGTTTTTTTATTTCTAAAGACGATTCACTCAGCCATTAAGTTATCGGTACTCTTTTTTAAAACCACTGAGGTTCAAATATTTACGCAGATCAAAACTGCTACATGTAACATGACACTGATTATAACATATGCTATGTGTAAATAATTGTATTCATAGCAATTAATTGTCTCTTTGTTCTCAGTAATTAAGCGTTCAGGAATAGAAAAACAGGAAGTAATTACGGAGTTGCGTTAACTTTGATTCTATATTGTCTTAGCTATTTAAATAACACGAGCAAAGATAATAAATTGTTGCTTTTTCCTGTAGCATGTGAATGATATAAAAATATATTATGTTATGTCACGAAATACCAATTTGATTAGTGATAGAAATATGTTTTCGTTATTATAGAAATAGTAATTGTTTCGTGCACAAAGATGCATGTAGTAATATATTGATATCAAAGTAAGGCATATAAGAAGTTTAATCCACTAATGACGAAGCATTAAATCATAAAAATTAAATTTCTTACATCAACCTGTTATGCAAAAGATAATTAATGCACACTGAATTAAATTGGACATCGTATTTTTATGCTAGTCATAGCCTTATTAATTTTTGACCATTTTATCTCATTTTTTATAATTATTCTGAAATCACGGAGTAAGCAAATAATCCGAAATTTTGTAAGCAAGATATAGGACTATATCAATACCAAATGGAACATTTATGTCGACGAATTATTTCCAGTCCGCCATGTGAAAAAATACATTTAAGTAGAGTCACTTGAATGTCTTCATTGCTACGCATAGAACCTAAGATCATGTTTTAACAACTTGTTTACGTGTTACAAGTGGAACCTATTTGAATCAACTTTTTACCCCACTAAAAATAACTACCTACCTTTCATCAACCTACTAACCGGTTAGGCACTTAAGATCTTAATTATATTTCATTTAATATTTCTTCAGTTATTGAATTTACAGATAGTTGGAACTGGTTAAAAATGTGTTTAACACCCCTAATATCAATAATATCATTTAATGTAACAACATTTATTTTGGGAAATAAGCACTTATTATTTTGTAACGTCTTTTTTACATATAAAAATGTGTGTTTTTTTACATATTAACCTTTTTATCGTTTATATGTTGAAAAAAAGATGTGTTTCGAAATTGAAAAAAATGTTCTTGAGACTGGTGCAAGATAAGCTTAACATAAATTGCAGTGATTTTTTTTCCAAACATCTTTTAGAGAAATTAAAATCTGATATCATCATAAATCCAATAAAAGTCAAGACATATGCTTTGTTTATGAATATTTTATCAGAGACATGATTCATGAATACAAAAAACAAAAAACAAACAATCATAATAATGCAAAGTCAAGGACATTTGTACTTATACAATAATTTTTAATCATTTTCGCGACAGAAGCAAACATAATTATCCCTTTCTCAGAACAATCCCTATTTTTGTTAACTTATATTATAAAATGTTTTATTTCTTACAATCCTATTAACGAAAGTCACAAATGGACTTCTTTTCAGTATTTTTTTTATAATTCATTTGCAAAAAATGATAAATTCATTGCGGAAGACAAGCTTATTCAAGAAGATAATATCATATAATTTTAAGTGCATCGATCTCGATGTTGCATGTTAAAGAAAAATACCAGAAACGACACAGCTTTACTGACAGTTGAAAGCGCAGAGGAAATTGATTAAAAGGTTTCATTAGCATCGACTAGCAGTTAATTATAGTTTTTGTTTTGTTTTGTTGTTTTTTTTGGTCTAAAACACCCAACGCAATTTTAAATACGAATGCTTGGATTGATTGAAATCGAACCATCACTGTGAAAAAATGCATGACGCTCTTCATATAATTGTGCTTTTAAGTTAAGAATAATGATCCTATAGTTACATTACTTATGTATATAAAACTAGAATCCAACGGAATCCCTAAAGAACGCCAAAAACAACAACATTGAAAATTTCGTAGGTCCGGCTTGATTGAGTCTGGACGGTACTGGAAAGTGCAAGCTACAGTCCAGTGAATCCACGCCCCCTAGCTCCGGCTTAAGTAGAATTCAATATTTAAACATGAAAAAATATTGAAATTCTGAATTCAGAAAAAGATTTCGCAGTATTTAGTATATGAGTAAGCATTACGATTTATCTTGTATAATATTGCGTCTTTTACAAATATTTTTATAGTATTGAATATTAAACGGTTGATTGAGACAGATACTAAATGTCTAAAAGTAGCGGCATGGTCGATAGGTTAACGCGTCGGACTAGTTATCTTAGGCGTGTGGGTTCAAACACCGTCAATGGCAAAATGTTTACTCCTTGTGCAATAAAGGTTTAATCATTGCTCAGTACTAGTTGGTTCCAGAAACGGATTCAAGAGTGTGTTTATAACCTTATAACTTCCTATAAAATCGAGTTATAAACAAATAAATTCGGTATGAACTATCTATCTGGAATTTGTTGTACATCTTACTTACGCATACAGACAAAAACCGCGCACATTTATTAAAGGGAGATAATCCAACAAATGTCGCTGATACAATTTATCAAATGTTCTTTTCATTTAGTTGCTAAAGCGTTTAACTGTACTTTCGTTGAAATCAATTAGCATTTCATTTATACATTGTCACCTAATTCAAAACACATAATGCAATTAAATGAAGATGTTGTTGTTTTAAAATGTTTTATGAAATGTTTTAGTTTAAAGAAAGTCAATTGCATGTTTAAATTATTATGATCAATATCTTGTTTTATTTTTAGGGGAACCACAGACATCATCAACCGTATACAGGCACAACTTGAATAAAATGCAACACTGACATAATCGTTCACAGTTTCAGACAACTGCAAGAGGTAATTTGTACTGTGTTGCTATGTGTTTTAACAAATATTTTAATTTATTTAGTCTAACTTTATTCTGTGTGTAGAATTTCTGAGCAAGATTGCTTTTGACCAACGAATTTATTCAAAAACGTGTACGTTTTAAAATTTGTTTATACCAAGCCGATTTGTAAATTATTACCCGTGTCCAATATTATGTTCGAATAAGGCTTCAAAAGAAAGAAGTGATGACTGTCAAAACCTTCGTGAAAATCAGTGATATACAATAGTAAAGCACTTTGGCATTAATTTGTACAGGAAGCTAAATAAATGATACTTACTGATCCTATGCTGGGTGTCTACAAATCTATCCGACGAACAATTCGGCTAATCATTTCTTCCTTGCGTTTGTCATATTTACTTGAAAGTTTCTAAATGTACTTATAAAACAGGTCGAGGCCATTTAAAATGGTTTTGTGTAATTTCAGCGTAGATCCGTTCTTAAGTGTCATTGGTTGAAACAGCTGTTTATAACAGTGTTGACAATGAGACTTACGAACGCTCCTTTTCAATTAAATATAAGCAGCTGTTAGTTCTGTATCAACAGCTGAGTATTTCATTTGCTTGATTCATAAGCGGTTATTTGTGTGATCCAACATTTATATAACGAATTATGTTCGCATAGTGACTTGATGCCTGTATACATGACTTATCATTTACATGAGACGATTTTCGAAATTCGACTTTCCTTATTAATTTATTATGATGATGATGATTATTATCATCATTATTATCACCACCATCATCAACAACATCATGATTATCATCTTAGGATATATTGAAACAATAAGATATATTGTCTCCATTATGAACTACAACAAGTAGTGTGGAAGTCTTTTTAAACTATTTCCATTATATCGTTTTTGTTTTGCTGTGTTCTTATCCCGCTTTAATTTTTTATTTGTACTTTTTGCTAGTTAACTTCGTCAACTTAATCAATACATTGTTTTATAAATGACAGCGAGTGTCCTTCTTAGGGGAAGTGATTAATGTGGATCCGATCGACATAACGTTACGAGCCCTTTGATTAATGGGATTCAGGAAAATCGTAATCTGTATTTAGATGATGCCGAAGAAAATCAAAATGAGGATTCTGCACGGACTAATATCGTGCAGGTTTTATTTTTTCTCGAAGACGTTACATTTTCATTACTCGTCACGCAATTTACATTTTATTTAGATATCAAAACATGAAAATATAAAGTAGGAATTAAAAATTGGGGACAAATTAACTAAAGTGAAAGGAGGAATTCATAGTTTGTTGATATTTTCTGTTGATCAAATTAAGTTCATTTCAACATATTTATATGTAATATTTGTCGAACATGTTTGTCTTCTATGTCTAAGAGATAAATGTTTCAGTCAATACAATGCATAATTTTATGCGTTTTGTGTGCTCTGTTGGTGTGGCTGGGTTGTGTCTGAAGTTTAAAAGTTGATTTCAAAATGTATCAGATGGGTGCAATAGAAGATTTATTAATGTAAAGTAACTATATTTACCTACAACAACCGTCCCAAAATTTGGTTGGATCTTAACATTTGTCATGTTTACTCAATTAAAAAATTAATAATAATGCAGGGTTTGGTGTTTTTGCTTCCGGTCAGTCAGATGATTACAAACAGTTAAGTTCGGGGTTTATTAAGACTGCGCTAGAAACAAATGGTTGACTTTATTACAGTTTTTTGTGTAAATTAATTGAAAACAGTAATACTATCCATTTCTTAATTACACTCGCTACGAAAATAATCTCACGAAATTTTTTTAAGAAAATTTATCTAATTTAAGACATCTCCTTGGGGAGTTCAAAATTATAGTGACAAACATATAATCCCGACAGCCAAACAGTTCTATACTGTTTGTTGATTTCTTTGATACAAGCTAGAAAGTTTTGAAAAGCAAAGAAATGTCTGAATTATCTCCCATAAATCAATTCAACATGTCTTGTAAAATTCCCTTATATGCATTAAACATTAAATTGACGAAATACAAACGAAGGCTTAAATCTTATTTGCTGTCCAACGAGTTTCGGGACCTCCATCTATAACTTTTTATGGTGGCCCACTGTAGGGTTCACTCAATTGTGTTTCCCTTTCAGGAATCCATTTGCCTCTTTGCGTCGAAGTATAATCGAAGTATATGTCCTATCACCGAAACTTCTAACGAACTCTCATCCTTCCGATATTGTTTATAAAATACTAAAGAAAATTGTAAAACAATGATTTAATTACAAAAGATAAATTTTTATGTTCAAAATAAAGTCTAAAAAGTGAAATGGCTATGTCCAGGCAGTAATTTTTAAGGCTGCTAAAGCCTTACAGAACTTTATCGAAATTGTAAGTCGCGGCTCTAATTTTTACAAATGTATGCCAAAATCTAGTATGTACTATTGGTTGCCTACAATCTAAATTCACAATATCTGAACAGATCTACGTAACGCCGTTTTTGTACTTTTGTACTCCAATATTGGACAATAATGTGTTATCTTATGTGTTTTCTCCAATGACAATGAATTAATGTTCAATAGATATGGTAAAGAGCAATTAAATGACAATGTCTGTATTTAATTTGCTTGACCTGTAATAATTAGGAATATTGATAAAAAATGAGAAAACAAAGAACTCAGAGATAGCTGTGTTAATATACCATTACATTGACATCGACATAAACCTAAGTAGTTATCAAACAAAAATTAAATATTGAGATCAGCATGAAACTTGGTATATTTGCTAAGCATAATAAGGTGTAGTTGGTAGACAAGGGGCAATATTTTTGGAGTAGCGCCTTTTTTAACAGACAAGCGTAAATACCACATGACGTGCTTTTGTTGATAAAGCTGTAATTTGTTTTTATATATTTGATCTGCATTTAGAACTGATATCATATAGTCGTTTCAAGATGCCGGAAAGTGACAATTTTGGTTGGAATGAAAGCCTTGTTACCGAACAACCCATAATATTTTAAATAATGTACAGTTGATTATGTTGTTAAATGCAGCATGCACCATTTATAATGTAACAGTAATATTAATAATACCATTTGACATCTTAATGTTAGTCGAGAAGAATATTGTTTTGTTTGAACTTGTACAGTAATTTGGATAAATCGCGATTGAAGCACTTTCAATATAGATAAGAAATCGAAAGCAGTGGCACTTAAAAACAATAATTTTGTTCTGTTATCTTTAAGATTTCCAACAACAACCTCACTAGTGTTAATAATGTTTCTTGTATTATTCAACGCGATTGGCTGATGTATTGACCAAATCAAAATGAGACGTCTATTTCTCAAAAAAAATTGCATATTAGTTTTCTCTCAGAATATACTTGTCTTTATCAAGCAAAACACTTAATCATTTACGAATGATAACATCAAGCATAATATTATTATTTCGTGAATTATTCAATAAATTTATGACAAATGTAGGTCAAAATGATTCAAAGGGTAAACGAAATTCAGAGAGCTTACTAGAATTTCTTGAAGCCAATGACGAAATTCAGTTCAAATTTGCACTTCTGAATTATATCAAGTTAATTTATATTGATTTATCCTTCAACTTGTCAGGACATTGACGTGTTGAGGACGGTGCATGCAGCTCCGTTTGTTTTGTTTTGTTAATAATATCAAGTGAGCGAATATCTAAAATATTGCTTTTCGTCAGTACATTCTTATTTTATTGTAATGGGTTTCAATTGCATGTTTTTTCCAGTTGATGGAACACACATGTAATCTAATTGATTGTTACTTTTAAAGTATTTATTTAATGATGTTACCATTAAGTTAAGTGAACAATATCACAAATTAAAGTGTCTATATTTAAAACTCTCACATGCAAATTTCATTTTATTTATAAATAATAGTATATAAAAAATGTCGTTAGACTTGAATAAGTAACTTGCATCATATAAAAATCTCATGTTCCTGAAAATTCATATACATGTATCATTTTCAGATAAATTGTACAAGATTCATAACACGAGTAAAGCATTGCTTATTTTTGAAAAGGCCGATGCAAATCGTAAGAATTTTACTCTTTTTAACAATTCAAAGTTACATTCCTAGGAATGTTTAATAGTTGTACACACATCAAACGATATAAAGGCAAGTATTCCTTTAAAATGTCACTGATTGCATTAAATGAAATATGTCATTAATCGTGCTTTCGGTAGTAAGTTCTGTCTTAGATTCCTAATTGCACATTTAATCTAAAAATACAGGAAGTCATTACAGAATAGCTTTTTAACTATTTCAGATATTATCTTAAACAGTTGCATAGCACGAAAAAAACTAATACATTCCTGCTATTTACTGTGTGATTTTAAGTTTAATATTTCCGGGATCGTCAATTGACTGCTGTTCTTTGCACAAGACTTCGATGAGATGTGCTATTAATCGGTTCTTCTCTACCGATGGCTTCATGTTAAACATGTATGAACAGTTATGATGCTTGAGAAAAAAGTTCTGTCTCCTCCAATCATCAAATTGTTTCAGATATTAATAATAAGACTTAAATTTTTAATGTCAGTTCCCCTTGTCTTTGGTCCATAATTTTAGTCATTGCAAATAGCTTCGAAATTTATAAATAAGTCCTGAATTATGTATGTCTGCTGCGCTTATCGTTGAATTTTTAGAATTCTACCATAATATTGCCTTTACTGTTTACAAATTATATGGCACTTCACATCTTACCAATTTTCTAATTAAATTATTCTTTAACAATTAAGTAAGAAGGATGGTATGAACCTGTGCAAAATTTGATTATCTGTTTTAAATCTTGTTTAACTGAAAATATGTATTTATAACTTGGCAGTGATTTCATTTAATTTACATCTAATTATCAATTAAAGTGACATTAAGATACAAAATGAGGATTTTTTAGATTGCAGCGAAAGAAACATTATACCAGGTTTATTATTATCTGCATTTTCGACAGTTTTCAAACGTTTATTTAATTGATAATTTGATTTTACAGAGT